GTCTGGGGTAGGCAGCAGGCGTGGGTTTGGGAAAGAAAAACAGACCAGAAGGAAGAGAGAGGAAGAGGAGGCTGGGTGCTGGTGGGTGGCCCCGTGAGCAGCCCCAGGAGGGCATCCCCAGCCCAGGACTGGGACAGCAGACCCACCCAGGTCAAGAGCCCTACACACGGGAGAGTCGGAAACGGGCCTGTGAGTCAGAAAAGACCACCCCAATCCCCTGAGACGTGAACGCCGCCCCGATGGGGGGAGCCGGCGTCCCAGGTGGAGTCTGTGTGGCGGGGGCCGAGTCAGAGGTGAAGCGCAGCGCCCCCAGCACTCCGCCCGCAAGGACCCTCCCGGCCGGGCAGAGAGGGCGTCTCTGTGCCCTGCTCTGCTGCGTGGGACCGGCAGGCCTGCTCATCGCTTTTTAGCCACTGTCACCAAGAAAGTGGATTCGGTGGCCCTGCAGTGGGTCCCCCCATCAGGTAGGGTTCTCCCCTCGTGTTTCGGGTTTACACAGAGCTTCTTCCCTGACCGTCCACATGAGAAAAGTGCGAGCGGGTCCAGGCCCCGGGAATGGAATGCGCATCTTCCCAGAGCTGTCGGGGCTGTGGGAGTCCGGCACTCACGTCTCTGTCCAGTCCTTTCTGCTAACACCCCAGGTGTCTCAATCTCCCGACACTCAGATCTCAACTCTAAGAAGAGACAGTCTCCTAGACACAGGGAGAGCCAAGTCCTTGCTGGTGGGGGGAACACAGGCAGGTCCCTCCGCACCACGCACAGGCTGCCAATCACGGGCCTCACCTGGAGAAAATGCGAAGCCGCCCCGTTCTGAGCTGGGCTCCTGAACCCGCCCCTGCAGCACGCCAGCTCCCGCAGTCTTCCCCACTGCAGAAAACGCTGCACCTCAGGCTGAAAACTGTGGGGTCCTCCCCATTGTTCCTTTGCACCCCACATCTGGCCTCTCAGTTCTCCCTCAAGACAAATCATTTTTTGCCCACTTTTCTCACCTGCTCTGCTGCACCTGGCACCTGCCACCATGGCTCCCCATCCTCCTCTGGTCTCTCTCACCACAGCAGCCGAGTTTAATCACTCCTCTGCTCAGAGCCCTCCAGGGATGATGACCATCCACCTCCCTGCCCAGCACTCCCTACTCTACCCTCTACAACCTCCTCACTCCTCAAACCCACCAGGTACACGCTGGCCCCAGGGCCTTTGCACTTGCTCTTCCTTCTGCCCAGAATCCTCTTCCCTAGGTACCCACTGGCTTGCTTCCTCTTTTCCTTCAGGTCTCTACTCAAAGGTCACTTGTCAATGAGACCATCCCTGGCTACCTCATCTAAAAGAGAAACCTCTCCTTTCCCCCTAACAAGTCATAACCCCTTTCTTTGCTTTCTTATTTTCCTTCTAAACATTTATCACTATCTAACATTCTTTTTTACTCATTTATATTGTTTTTTATTGGATTTCTCCCAACCAGAATATAAGAATCATGAGGACAGGGATGTTCTTGGTCTGTTTTGTTCACTGCTGTGTCCTTAGTACCTTGAATGGTGCCTGGCACGTGGCAGGCATTCAGTGGATATTTGGTGGAACAAATGAATGTAAAGCCAAAACACTGATTGCACAGTAACTAAGAATCAAAGATCACCTGACTATTTGTGGAAGCAGAATCTGTTGCTACAGTGACCAGCCCAGCTCAGACGTCACAAGGCTTGAAATAGGTGCTTTTAAAAAAGAATCAAAAAAATCCAGGAGCCTCAAGCAGTCAATGGGGAAATTCTGCATGTTTATGTTTTAAACTGTAAACCTTTCTAGATGTGAGAGATACAAATAAAGAGTAACCCTGAACCGTGTTAGGTATTGCATACAGGGGATTTAAATTCAAGACTTAGGCCCACTGGTGTTAGAGTGCAGAAAAAGCGAGAGGGAAACACCTTGGTAGCTCCCTCCTGTAGGGCTGTGGGACAAGAAAGGAAGAGGTGTGTATCAGATCCACATCAAGAAGTGGGTCAGGTGGCAGCCGGAGATTGCAGCCAAAGAGGCTGGAGGACAGAAGCTAGACAAGCCCTTAGGCGAGCCTCGCCCTACCTCACCCAAATGGAAGGCCAGGAAGGTATGCGAGTGAACACCGTGCCTCTACCCCAGACAGGGGTTTAAATATCCCTGCAGATGTGTCACCGTGACATATATAAGGTCCATGGGTGGCTGCCAAGCATAACACCACAGAGTGTGTGCAGAGAGAAAAAGCACAATTCTCTCCATATAAACATTCCCCCCCCCCGCCACTGCAATACTCGAGGGACCAAGAAAAAGGGCTCATCATCCCTTTAATTGCATGCAGATTCAAAAACGCAAGTGGGGGCCAAGGCTTGCACACCCCTGAAGAGTACGCAGACACTTACGAGAGTTGCCAGCCCACTGCCAGCAGCAGCTCAGAAACCCAGATTTATTTCCTCACAATGCTTTTCAATGAAACCAGAGTGCAAATCTAACCCAGCCCAGAAATAGTTCCATAAATGTAAACTAGGGAATCTGATGGGGAACTATACTGAGAAAAGCTGGCATCACCAAGACAGTACAATACACACATCTGGTTGCCTTTTGTGTTTATAGTTTAAATATCCAGACAGTCTTTTCATGAAAATAATAAATCTGCATGAAAATAAGGTGGAATCTTTTTTTACATTACTAAGATGTATTTTATTTAGCAAACAATTTCCCTGGACTTAAAAGGATCAAAGAAAGGAAAGGACTTCCCCTGGCACTGCACAACAAAATCAAGCGGTGCCAGGCAGGGACCAGCTTGCCTCCACACAGAGAACCAAGGCTAGAATGGAGACAGGGCTAGAGGTCACCCTCCTCTGGTCCCAGGCTCCCTACTTCACCCCCTCCAGGGGGTGCTGGGCAGGCCCTCGCAGGAGGCCTCCACCGGACAGGACGTACCACTAGCCAAGGAACAGTTCCAAGAGTTCCATCCTGGGCTGTTAGAAAGTCCTTTACCCCCACCCACGGGTCCTCATGCTAACAGCCCCTGCCAGCGCTACCACTCTCACATCTCCTCTCTACTTCTGATTTTTGTTCCCCTTTAGGTACTTGATGGCAGCTGTCATATCCCTCTGAGTCTTCTTTTCTCCATGGTAATCACCCACTTCCACGCTCTCAGTGTATACACACAATCCACACACCTCGACCCTGCACACCTTGCATGAGTGCAGGAGACAGAACCAGGCAGATGCACAGACAGTGCCTCACGCTGCCCTCCCTTCTGCTCCAGGTAAGGCGTTTTCACCCGGGCATCCCAAGGCAACTGCACCCACACCCCTCTGCTCATCACCTGCCAACAACCCCAGCCAGAAGCAGCAATGACAAGTGGCACTTGCGGGGGGCTTACGGTTAGACCCTCCCCACAAAAGGCAGAGGCAACAGGTACGATGTTACAGGTGAGGTGCCACACGGGATGGGCCAAATGGGGAGCCAACTGCAACCAATGTGCTAGGGTCAAGGCTCAGCAGGGACACCAGACCAGAGTGAGGCCCAGGGCCTCAGTCGTTATGTGTGGCCTGCCCTATTCCGGAAGAAGTTAACTGAATAAACCGTGTTTCTTCATGATGCTTTCCTGATTTGGGCATTCATTTGTTAGATTTAAAATACCATAACAAATAGCAAATCCAAGGAAAACTGCTTCCATGCTTGAAATAACACCAAACTGTCTCTGCGACAGCTATAAACGCCAGACCGTGGGGAGGGAGCAGAAGGAAGCCCGAAGGCAGGCCTTCTCACTCGGGGCCCAACTCGCCGGCTTTGGGAGCCTTTCCAGAGGATGTGTCGGCCAGAGGATGTGTCATGAGAACTGAGCTCATTATCCACATAATTCACACACTGGGTGGGGGCCTGTCCCCAGGGGAAAGCAGAGGTTATCTCTGACCTCAGCCAGACTGGCAGCTAAGGAGATTGGACGGCCACCCTCCCATTCAGCATCTTCCACCCAAGGTTCCAGGGGTCTCTGCTTAGAGCACTGCAGAAAGGAAGGCCTCTGTGCAAGTGTCCCTGATTCTCTGGGCTGCAGGTGGTTACACACCAGGAGGAGGGTCCGTGCTCAGAAGCCCCACAGTCTTCCCTGCTCCCTCTCCTGGCCTGGCCCTCTCAGGCGACCCCCCTCTCCAGCTTGCCACCCCACCCCCAAATCTTCCTGTCTCGAGTTCGGCCCTCTCTCTTTTCTCCGCTCTTCCAGCCCCTCTCTGTGCAGCTCCAAAGGGCCGCTGTGGACAGGGAGGTAAGAAAGGGGAAGCCACCGCAGTTTCTGAGAACAAGAGTCCCGCCAGCCAGGACCACTCACAAGGCCAGGGAGGAGGCGGCTGACGCTAATCAAACCCGAATGAGGACCCAGCCCTGGGGTGGGGACCCTGGGCTGTCCGCTGTAGCCGCAGGCAGGGCGGCTCCCCCTGGAGGAGGGACGGAAGGGCTGCGTGGCACCTCGCACCCAGGCTGGGCTGTCACCAGAGGAGACCAGAGAAGCGGCCCCTCCCAGGGGAGAACTCCGGGAGGCGGCAGACCCCATGCTACTCCCAATTCAGACACCGCAGTCAACTGGTCCCAAACGCCTCCCCAGTCCCCCCCGCCAGACCTCCCGAGGGTGGGGATGCGCCCACCACCCCAGGGCGGGGGGCTGCCCCGAGCTGGCCGCCGCACTTCCACTGGTCAGCCCGGGTGCCCTCCCTCCAGGCCGCGCCTTCCCGAGAAGTGGCTCGCCCTTGGGGACGGTCAGGGCGCCTGTCCTACCGGCCTCGGCCCCTTTTCCACCCCCTCTGAAGACTCCGGCTCCCAGTCCTCCCATCATTTGGGGACACAGGGTCTAAGTGTCCCCGGTCCCGTGCCCGGGCCAGGGGTGGGGGAGCGCAGAGAAGTCGCAATCTGGATTTAAGTAACTCTTCCCAGCCTCCTTCTCCGCACTTCAAAGCTCTCGCGCCCCCACGTCCCTGCCCTCGGGACCCCCGTCCTCAGCGCCCCGTGCCCCTCACCTTGGCGCAGCGGCCCGCGCGCCAGCTCGGGCCGGTCCTCGGGGAAGGCGTCGCGGAGGCGCTGCCACAGGCGGCGCAGGTCGGCGAAGCTGCGGTGCAGGTAGAGCACGCTGCGGTCGGACCACTCGGTGCGGATCTCGAAGAACTCCTCCTCGTCGCCGCGCCGGCTCACGATGAGCCTGCGGATGCCGTTCACCCAGCAGCCGCGCACGAACATGTTCACGAGCGACGTGCCCTCAAACACCGCCGAGGCCATGCCGCGCGCCGCGCATGCCCCCGCCGCCAGGGGCGCCCTCGGCCCCCGCCCGCCCGCCGAGGTCTGCCCGGGGTCGGGTCTGTTCGGGGCCGGGGTCCGTCCGGGGTATGCCCGGGGCCGGGTCTGTGCAGGGCTGGGGGCCGTCCAGGTCTCTCCGGGAACTCCCTGGATGCTGCGAGCGGCCCGCGCTCGGAGCGGAGCCGAGTCGCTCAGGCCGGCCCGGGCGGCGGCTTTATAAGGCGCTTCCCGCCGCGGGCGGCGCGGTCGTCGACGTCGGGGCCAGGCCGCGTCCGCCTCCCTCCCGCCTCCGGGAGAACGGCCGCCGCGGGCCGCGCGCAGAGGGGCTTTCCTGGCCGGCCGCGCCCCACGTCGCCTCCCCGGAGCCCGGAGCCCGGCCGCGGGGACCCGGCGCCAGGAGCGGGGCCGAAAGCCGAGCGCTCCCCCGCCTCCGCGCCGCCCGCCGCTGCTCCCTCCGCGGCCCCTGAGCCGCCGGTCGGTGACTGGACGAGAAGCCGGGAAGGGAGGGCGGGGCGGACGGGCGCTGCGCTCACGGGGGCGCTCGGCGGAGACTTTTTTCTCTTTCCGTTTTGCGATCCTCGGGACCTCTGCGGTCTGGGGGCGGCGCGCTCCGCCTGGCTCGGGAGCGGGAGGGGGGGAGACTGCAAGTCGCCGAGGTCCCGAGGCGGGGCCGCGTGTGCTGGGGCGGGGGCGGGGGCCCGGCCGAGCGCCAGGCGGCAGAAGGGTGGCCTCGCCTTCGTGTCCGCGCCGCCCGCACTCGCCCCGCGCTGGGCCGGCCCGCCCCGCGTCGCCCCGTGCCCGGCGTCCCCGCCCCGCGTCCTCCCGAGCATTCCGGTCGTGCCTCGGCCGGGTCAAGGCCCAGGACGCGGCGGGACGCGCAGACCTCGGGGCGGGGCCGGCCGGGCGGGGCAGGGGTCCTCGCGAGCTCCGCCGGGGCCGCCCGCTGAGAAGGGAGGTGGGACACAGCGGTGGCGGGGAAGGAGGTCTCCTTGGAAAGGGCGTCCCGGGTGAGCCGCACGCCCTTGGGGAGCTGGAGCCGAGCTGGGGAAACGGCCCACACTGAGAACAGATTCACGGCCAGCGTTACTTGCGCTGTGCCTCATTGAAAGATCATTGCTAGCAGTTGTTTAAGAATTGGAAGTTCGCTCCAGGAGTGACTGGAGCGACCTCGCATCGCGTAGGCGCGGGTGGGAGGGCAAGGGCGAGCCCCGCAGCCCCCGCAGCGTCCTGGAAAGTCTCGAAAGCCCAGTGCAGGCAGAAACAGAGGCTGACGGCAGGCGGCCTGTCTCTTGGCTCAGCCGCGCCCCAGATGTGTGTCCCCCACCACCACCGCCACGTTTGTTAAGACTGCGTCAATGGCTTGTGGAAGTTATGTCTTCGAAGGCCTTCTTCTGGGTTTCCCTTCGCCTCCCTGTGTTGGTCAGCCTCCCTTTGACGGTGTAGACTGGGAGGAGAGGGCGATGTCCACAGTCTGGAATCCCCCCACCCCACCCCGGTGCTGGGTGACCCACTGACCAAAGGAGTCGGCCGGGGTGAGGGAGGGGCCGGAGGGCAGAGGCGCTGAGAGAGCTGGGCAGCCCTGCCAAGCATCCTGCCCGCCACCCATCCCCTCTGGACGCAGCACTTTTCTGCCACTGCCCCAGCTGAGCAACATCCCCAGCACTTTAAGGGCCAGAATTACGGCCCTTTTTTGAATCCTGTTTGGGGAGCAGCCCTTACTGTGTACCATCTTCGCTAGGAACACTCCAGTCTTCACTCTCCTGTTGCCTGAGGCCTAACTTTGTGACACTGTCTTTCAGTTTGTGCCAGGTATTCCTGGTCACTAAAGACGACAAAGTGTTTTTCATATTCGTGATGTTTGTTTGTCTAAGGAGACCTGGAACTAGAGAAAACTAGATGGCCAAGTAAAAATAACAAGTGCCCCAAATCCACTAATAATTACAGAAATTCAGATTAGAACACAATGAACTGCCAGTTTTTAGTCCATTGGATTGATACAAACTTTTAGAATCCATTAAATAAAATATTATCCCAAATCTGGAAATAGGGCCAATAGAATAGTCATCCTTCCAGTGTGTGTCCTTTCAATGACATATTGAAGCATCATTTAAAGGCCCAAAGAGTACTTAATTTTCTAGTACAACATACCATCGTTTAATGTTGCTGTTTACTAATAATGAAGGGCTAAGGCAGACTCTCTGAAGTTATATATCAATTTGTAGATTTGTGCCTGGTAGAGATGCAAATAATTTCTGTCCCAAAGAAATGATAATCACAAAGGTTATGATTTATTGCCCTGTAGAACATGAATCATTCCTGTATCTAGCCTAGCAATCTTTTTTTTTTCTTTTTTTTTTTTTTCTGAGACAGAGCTCTGTCGCCCAGGCTAGAATACAGTGGCATCATCATAGCTCACAGCAACCCCCAAACTCTTAGGCGCAAGTGATCCTCCTGCCTCAGCCTCCTCTGTAGCTGGGACTACAGATGGGCACTACTGCGCCCAGCTAATTTTTCTATTTTTAGTAGACACGGGGTCTAGCTCTTGCTCAGGTTGGTCTCAATAGCAATTTTATTTTAAGACTCTTTTTATGGACTATATAAACCCAGTCCCCTAAATGGTCTTTGAATCAGCTTTTTCATCTTAAAAATTTTCTTGTTATTAACGTGTTGAGCAAATTTTTTATCACATGCATTCCATATTTGTAGAAACATTTAAGAGGCATATTTTTAACCTGTGAAATTTATACTTGGATGAGTTTGACAAGAACAATAACTTTTGCAAGGTTACGAAGAGGCACGTACCCTTACAGACTGATTTTGGGTATAACAGTTGGAACAAGCTCTTTGGAAAGCAGGTTAGCAGTAGTTGTTAATACTGAAAATGTGCATAACTTGTGACCCAACAATTCCCTCTTCTAGAATTCAATCCTAGAAACATTTCCATATATGCACTAAGAAATGTACAAGGACATTCATTGGTGCACTGTTTGCTAAAGTGAGAAATTGGAAATGACTTCAATGTTCATCAAAAGGAAATGAATAAATTAATGACACATGAGTATGATGGAATTTTATACAGCCACAAAAAAATGAATCAATTATAAAAGTATGGATAGATCTCGGAAATAAGATGTCAGTGGAAATGGCTGATAGGTACTACAGATGGTAATATAGATGCATATGACAAAACAATAGTAAATTTGGAACAATACCTACCAAACACACAAAGGTACTTCTGGGGTGGTGAACAGGTCAGGATAGCATAATGTCAAGAGGGACTTTTGCTTTATTTATAATGTTCTTATACACATTTTAAATTAAATGAATGCATGTATTACTAGTATAATTTTTTCTAAAGGAATAGAGGCTGTGAGAGGCTGCAAGGAAATAGCCGGTGTTTGACTCTGGGTGGTAGGGATAAGTGTTATTAATATTTTCTTCTTAATGTTTTTCTGTTATTTGAATGTTTGCTGATGATGATGATGATGACGAAAGAATCTCTGACATAAGTATTAGAACTTCTGACTACCTGTCTTACCCAGCCACTGAAAAACTCCAATCATCATCGCAAACTGCTCACTTTTGTCTTTCCGTGAATTGGGAATTTAAAACAAAAATTTAAAAAGCTCCCCGCTGTTGTGAGGACAAATAAAATGGTATATGGCAGAAAGTGTGCTGTAAACACTTTTGAGGACCCGTGTTACGTAAATGTCAGTAACAGAGACTGAGGAGGCGGAGCGGTTTCGTGCTGTACCTCAGGCTGACCAGCTAGCCCAGTGCCAGAGGCCACACAATAGAATGTGAACACGAAACAAAGAGGAGCTCTCTGGGTCACCTGTCCCATCCTCCCAGCTGGTCTAGAATTACAAAGGTGTATCCGAGGAGGAGCTCTGGCTGTAGGTAAGAGCTTTGGAAACCAAATACTTCAGTCTGATCAATAAGAGTAAACAATGGGAATAAAAGACTTCAGGAAATTCAAAGCCTTACTTTTCAGGGGATGCTTGGGTGTCCTGTTTATTTTTCCCTGGTGGTGGTTTTGTTTTGGTAGAGATTTTTTTTCAAGTTCTGTCCTTTCTCCCTAGCCCTCAAAGTGAAGAGGAAGGCAATGCAAAGGTTGGGGTCGTTTCTCCAGGTCATCTAGGGGACCCGCTCATCTGGCATCGACAGCATAGTAGGAAGCCTGTCGCTGCCAGAGTCTGAGAAGTAAGACTGACTGCCTAGGGCCAGGGGGTGACGGCAGGGGCAGGGTGAGAGAGGAGATGCGGGCCCCAGGGTGGCTCTGACCTCGTGGGTCCCGCTGTTTGTAACCGCACCCCTGCGCTTTGAACCTCACTTGATTGATAAACTGTTCATAAGGGCACCCTGGTTTGCATTTTGAGTTTCACCTCACAGACACTGTAAGGTGGTGAGCATCCCGCAAACCGCAGCTGTCCTCTGTTTCTCGTCGAGATAGAGGTGATGAGACCTCACAGTTGTGAGCATTTTCAGACACGTTCACTGGTAGGATCCTAACAACAGCCCCTGGGGACGGGGAGGAGAAGATCATGGTTCCTCTGCAGATGAGGAAATTGAGAGCTTGTGGAGGGTCTGGAGGCCTCTAAGGCCCTGCTGGACTGGCCCCTGCCAATCTCCCGGCCCCACCTGGCCTTGGTCCAACACACTGGCCGTCCTTCACCGTCCTAAGTGCCACGCACCTTCCCACCCAGAGCCTGCTCAGGCCTGACAGACCCTCAGTGTGCAATGCCCCCCACCCCTGCCTTGTCCTGCTGATGGCTACTCATCCTTATGCGCCTGCAAATCCCCTGGGATCTTGTTAAAAAGCAGATTTCGATTTAGTAGATCTGTGTGGGTTCTGAGATTCTGCATTTCCAGCATGTGCCTGGAGCCCATCTTTTATCCGAGAGCCACTCTGAGTAGCAAGGCTGATGCTGGCATAAGCCTCACTTTGTCTGGAAAGTATCAGGAGACGCCGTGGGACAGTCTCATGGTACCCTGCATTGGTTCATAGTTATAACGGAGCGTTCGTTGTGTTTCCTGGCTCGGATGGAATCTCCACGAGGGCAGGGACTGTAACTGTCTCCTTCGTGTTTGTATTCCCAATGCCTAACACAGAGCCTGGCACGTGATAAATGCTCACCACGTGTCTGTTGAGTGAATAAGTGATTGAGTAGCATGAGTGAGCAGATGAGCTAGAAAGCTAACACCGGTCTTCCCACAGAAAATGCTATCCCTCGATTTCCAAGGATGGGACATTGGGGAAAATTTCACAACCCATCATCAAATCCAGATTTTACTGGAGACCCCAAATCCCAGGCATCGAATCATCTTGAAAGGGACCGTCCAAAATGTTTGTGGTGATTATCTCTCCAGAATGGGATTACAGACTTCTAATTTCCTTTGTGCACTTTTTGTTTTCCAAATTTAATGCAAGGAGCAAGCCCTGCTGCAGTAATTCAAAAGTAATGTGAGAGTTCGTCTAAGCAAATCCTTTCTCAGATCATCTCCATGGTCACTTCTCCCTTGTCACTGCATATGGTGACCTAGCTGTGTAGCCACAG